TGGAGCTGCACAGATCAAACCTGCCCATCTAACTCAGCAAAAGGTGGTTCCACCCCACTGCACAGCTCTGATTTACTCATCTAGAAATTATTTATTTAGCTCACAACTGCAGGGTTTCCACAACATTGCCACATTTTGCTCTGATAGACTTGAGGGAATATGGAAACTTGAGGGTATATAGAGCACTTCAAGTCCAGGGGTGCAGCAACAATAACTGCAGCACGTCTCTGTAGTCAAGAAAAAAGAATTGTTTCGCAACTGCTCTGAAGTGGGTTTTTCTCGCCTTTCCCCAATTTTGTTTGCTCAGGCTGTGAAATGGGGAAATCTTGACCTTTCAACCCCRTGTGACCTACCCTGAAAAAGAAATCATTATTCATCACATTTATTTTCTGGAAAAGCAATAGAAAGTCTTTATTGCAAGGCCGGGCATCAATTTCAACACCCCTTTTWAATTTTTTTTTTTAATTTCTAAAGGTCATGAATTCCATTCCACTCATTCTTTACTCTGTGTGCTGGGGATAGTAAGAAATATCCCCTTCCTGAAGGGGACTCAGCACTAAGGAGAATCACAGAATTATTTAGGAGGTCAGCTGGTCCAGCCCTACCTCAAAACACTAAAGAAGGCATTCTTTAATTCCTTGCTGCCATTCAGGACTCTACTCGGGATAAAATGCTCAGGAAAGTCTTTAATAATTTGTTCCCCATGCCCTGAGTATGTTCCTCCAACACTGCCTGTCCCAAGTTCCTGCAGATCTTAAGAAACTACAGATACAGCAATTTTTAGTTGTAGTTTTTAACTGGGTGCTTTTAAATTTAAGCTTTTATTTGCTTACAAATGTCTAAATAATAAAAAAAGAAGTAGCGAATAAACCACATTTTACTTGGCCTTGCACAGAGCTGAGAAGAGCAGGGACTCAATAAAAAAAAGGGGAATACTCCTTTGAAAATGAACCACAAAGAGTGTCAAAATGACCTGCAAGGGGTTTCAAATTCTCCACTGAAGGGGCACTGAGACATAAACGAAATTTTTAATTTGTCAAGTAAAATAAAATTGCTGAGAAGGAGCATGGAGGAATTGCTGACATAACTCTGTATAAACGTGTGTGCACTGTTTGTAAAGCATCACCACATCCCAGAATTTAAAGCCTGGCTACAAACTGGACGGAGAATCCCGTTTTTACAAGGCATTGCATGGAAAAGACAAGGGGCCATGGGTACAAATCACTCCTGGGGATATTCCAGTTGGACACAAGAGGAAAATTTTTCATGAGAACAATCAGCAATTGGAACAATCCCCCCAGGGAAAAGTGCTGGATTCCCAAACACTGGGCACTTTTAAGATTTGACTGGACAGGGTGATCCTTGAGGTCCTTTCTGGCCTGCTGTTTTGGGGTTTTGTGAATAGAGAAATTATACTGGTTGCTGTGTGCTCACAGCTGAGGATAAATGAAGATTTGCTGCCACCTACATACTGCTTTCCTCATGAATTATTTTAAAAAAAAAAAAAAAAAATAAAAAAAAAAATTAAAAAAAAAAAAAAAAACCAAAAAAATAACCAACCTGTAGAATCCGGATAGACATGTAAACGACAGCATGCTATACTTTGTTTATGAAATAATCCCTCATGACATGGCCAAAAAAACCACAATCATGACATACAGAATCATCACTAACCCCTGTAATTTCTTTCTTTAAAAGGTGTGAGTCAAAATGTTGTGTATCTGCATTTCCCCAGGATATTTTGATAGCCAGGTATTCTTTTAAAGCATGGCAGCATTTTTACTTCCATTTTTTTCTCAGATGTATGCACAGGATGCCTGCAACCTGTAGGTTAGACAGCACTTTTGGCATGGGAGAGAAAAGAATTAAAAAGTAAAGCGAATGGGAGGAAAAATATGATTTCTTTAGTTTTTTTTATGGGAAACAAAACCAGAATTGCAGATGCTGTGAATTGAACAGCTGTGGTTACTCCTACAGAGGTTTTCAGCTGCTCACCTAAATACTTGGATTAATATTTATGGCAGGTAGCAGAGAATGGAAGGGGATCCAGACAAATGTCTGCTCTCACAATGTAATTTTTCATTCCTTAAAATGCTCCCAAACCCTGCAGGATCTGGCTGAAGGGAAATAAAAGCCTTGCAGACCTTTTATTGTGRATGTTTATTGGGTGTCTGTTCCTTCCCCCAAATTCCAGGAGGCTCAGCWGCCGCGCTGGATCCCGGGGGCGCTTTCAGGAGCTCAGCACAGACTTAAACWCGGCAGGAATGAGTAAATGTTCCTCTGGAAACAGGCTCTGCTTAGCAAAGGGCTCCCTCTCCTGCTCCTGCTGAAACCAAACAGGCTGTGCAGAAAGGGAATTGTGTGAATGCTGCTCGGCAGGGATGGAGCACAGGGTGGCAGTACACGGCAGAGAGAGGACAGAGGGACACCCCCCCTCCAGCCCAGCTTGTGCCTTTYAGCTCTTGCTGACAAAGGTTGAGAGGTGTCAGTGTCCAAAAACACCTGAATGAATCACAGAATTATGGAATTGTTTAGGGTGGAAAAGATCTCTGAGATTACCCAGACCAACCATTATTCCAGGATTGCCATGGGTGACCATGGGTCACCCCTTAACCCTGTCCCYAAGGGCCACATCCGCACCTTGTCTGAACACTTCCAGGGATGGTGGCTCCACCACTGCCCTGGGCAGCTGTGTCAGTGCCTGACCACCCTTTCTGTGAAGAAATTTCCCTGATATCCAATCTAACCCTGCCCTGGACCAGCCTGAGGCCATTCCCTCTCCTCCTGTCCCTGTTCCCCGGAGCAGAGCCTGACCCCTCCCGGCTGTCCCCTCCTGTCAGGGAGTTGTGCAGAGCCACAAGGTCCCCCCAGAGCCTCTTTTTCTCCAGGCTCAGCCCCTTTCCCAGCTCCCTCAGCTGCTCCTGGGGCTCCAGACCCTTCCCCTGCTCCGTTCCCTTCCCTGGACACGCTCCAGCCCCTCAATGTCCTTCTGGCCACGAGGAGCCCAACACTGAYCCCAGGACTGGAGGTGTGACCCCAGCAGTGCCAGCACAGGGGGACAATCCCTGTTGGAGCGGCCATTTGTGAGGAGACGGGGAGAGACACATAAACGACCTCGTAGACTTGGTTGTACGTGCTATCTCATCCGCTTTATTAACGGAAGCCGAGGATTTTTATACCCTTGGCTCGTAATGGCDGCGGCAGTTAGACGTAACGCTTTTTGTAACAGGAATAACGGTAACTTAACGTAGAGAAGCTCTTACTAACACTCCAAATTTCCTTATATGGTAGCTCTGCCGTTGCAGGGGGCTCGCGCTGACTACCCTCGCCACAGGGTTATATTGTGGCTTCTCACGGCCTCGCGGGCGCTCGAGATAGACCCGACTGGAACTGTTACAGCGCCTGCCGGCTGTCAGCCAACGGTGGCCAACGGCACCGAATATTCCAGAGCCTTCACAGATCTTCTCGGCCCTTACCAGGCCTAGGCCTCATAATGGCTTACCACAAATCCCTGCCCTTCTCCTGCTGCCACAGGCCAGGGGTCATTGCCCATCCTGCCCATTTGGGCCCTCCTGGCTCGTGTCCAGCCACTGTCACCAGCACTCCCAGCTCCTTTCCCACTGGGCAGCTTCCCAGCCACCCTTCCCAAGCCTTTAGGGCTGGATGGGATTGCTGTGACCCCAGTATGGGCCTGGAACTTGGCAAGTGGGAYGCCTCAGGATTTCAGCKTCTCTGCTTCCACGTCTCTGCAACCCTGTAATTCTTTAGTGGGTAACTCCAGACTCCAGTGCTGAGCTCCTCCTCTCCCATTTTCACACAAAACAATTCCTCTCCAGCCCCAAGGACACCTCCCTGTGCCAGGCCCCAAGAGATGGAAACAACAGAGAATTGGGGGGAGCCAACTTGGAGTCAATGACTCCATTGGCTGAGCTGCAATTGGAGGACTCAGCCCCGATGTGCAAATGGACAAAAGTGAGAAAGGGTGAAAAACCCGTGAGCCATTGTCCATTGTGGGTGTAGCCCCTGGGTGGGCTGGGACTGCCCTGAATGGTCCTGAAGGCCCTGGTTTGGATTAGAACTGCTTTGGACTCTCTGAATTTTGTCCAGCCTGTTTCAAGGAGATGGATCAGGCACCAAATGGAGCTTTTACTGGAGTTTTCCTGGTCAGACACAGCCTTCCCACACAATTCCATCCAATCCACCGTGCCTTGGAAGCTCATCCTTAATGAACTACACATCCACTGACCATCCAACACCAGGAACACACTCCGGGCTCTCAGCTGTGCTGGGGAGCTGCCAAAGCCCCCTGAAGTCGTTCCCTACCCCAATTAACACTGAGTGTGAGGCAATAACCCATCCTGAGCTGGGGCAGGATGGAGTGATGGGGCAGCACCACCTCACAGGTTCAGCCAAGCTAATTGAAACTACACAGTTTTAAGTCTAAAGTTTTAAGACTTTGGCCAATTTGGCCAAATTACACAGTAATCTTTTATAAATTAACTGAGCCAATGCACTGTGGAATGCTGGCAGCTTTTTTTTGGTTAATTTTTGGTTCCAGACAGGAAGCAAGTGCCACTCCTGGCTGCTCCAGTTCCAGCAGATTCCCAGTTTGATAATCCCCACAGCCCTTAACATAAATGTGGAGAGACCTCATATATAATCTCATATATAATTTCTTCCTTCTAGACAGGGCCCTCAATGTGGGGCATCTCAAAAGAAATTGAACTGGAAAACRAAACACCAATAATAATTTTAAGAAATCTGGCCAGAGTTTTAGTGTATAACTAAACAAAATGCCATGCCTCCCACTCTTAAATTCTACCCAGAAACAGAAAGAAATGAAAAAAAAAATCAATTAAAATGTAAGAGAGGGAAAAGCCAAAAAATCTATCTGGAGCTCACAGAAGGAGACACTTCTAAAACTTTTATATCAATATGAAATAGTGCAGAAGAATAATAAAAAATCTRTTTTGGCACAATATTCCTAGAAATACTCTCACCTGTGGCCTGACAAGCGACTCTCAGTTTTCTTGAGGGATCTTTCCTTCTTTTCTCTCCCAGCCCCTGAATGTCTGTGAGGGGCACTCACTTTAAGGCTTTTCTCACTGCTGTTTGCACAAAAGCTTGGAAGGGATTTTCTTTCTTCTGCCTTGCTCCTCTCCCTCTCAGACTGCAGCTTGGAGAAAAAATCATCTGGATCTTTGGGGACGCTCCTCGGTTTTTCAGAGGCAGAACTGGTGTGTGAGCTGGGCATAGTCTTTGATGCAAATTCCACACTGRATTTTGCTGGAGATCCTTTGTTTTCCTGAAAATCAGCACTTGGGACATTTGGGTCATGTTCCTCGTGCTCTTCAGACCTGAGCTGGGCTGAGCTGCTGATGCTCGTGGATCGTTTGGAAAGCCTCCTTTTTTGGGGATCCTGGAAAGAAGTGCCACCAAAGCCACAAATTAATATTTTTCCACCTTGAAAAAAAAACACAAAAAGCAAAGGAAAGTTCCAGCCACAAATTAATATTTTTCCACCTTGAAAAAAAAACACAAAAAGCAAAGGAAAGTTCCAGCAGTGACTTCTAGGCTAAACTATTTGTTTGTTAATAGTAATCAGCTTATGGAGTAAATCAGATTTTTTTAAAATCAGCAATAAAGAAGACAAACACTTGCACTTAAAATTTGATCAGTATTAAAAATGCTGCATTTCATTAAAATATGCTTTCTTTTACCCAAGAGCATCAACAAAACATCTCCTAAAAGCTTATCTTGAGGTTCTATCCAACTCAGGAAATCAAGACATATAAAATATTCACTGGTATTAGTGAATTAGTATTATTACAGGTATCTAGGCTTTACTTCTGATTCAGAGATACTTATAAAAATCCAACTAATTAATTTAACTTCCATATGCTCTTCAGCACTATCTAAATGTCATAGTTAAAGTATTTAAATTTCTCATTATTACAAGCTTAATTTTAGATTGGAAAAGTCTCTAGCTATACAAAAGCAGCATAAAGGAAAAAAATGGGCAATTATTTTTAAACTGTATTTTGAAAGCACTTATTGATGGAATATGGTCTGATTTGATCAATTCAGAAACACATTTTGAACTGAAAGCAATCTTCACTTCCAAACTGCCACTGATTAAAWGTGGAGTCTTGGAAAAACCAGCGTAAAACATAATGCGGAAGCAGAAAAAGCAATTTTCACAGGAAAATGGAAAACCCAATCTGTCAAGAGATATCAAGAATGGGAAAGATTTATAAAATAATTCAGTGACCTGAATTCAGTGACATGCAGTAGTTAGCTGCCTGCAGTGGTTATATCTGGAAATTCAGAATTAAGCAGAACAATTCTCATAACCTACCACACTTTTTCAGCCTGCAGATTTAAAGGATTAACATGCAGAAGTCATTTGAGCACTATTTGCAAATCATTTTTATCCCAGCAGCTTGGATATAAAATCCACGGGACAAGCCAAACATTTTGGTAAGTGCTGGGAATCACCTCTGGTGGACTTGCCACTGGTCCAGCCATCATTCCCCTGGCAACCAGACCAGCCCTGGGCCTTGACTTCTCCTTCCCTGYGGGCTTCAGCTCCTCAGAAATTGCAGCTGCTTTTGAATCCTCTTGGCTGTCTTTCAATTTTTTGTCCCAAGCAGAGGGTAGGTTACTGCTGTGTGTTGTCCCTGTGTGGCATTTTTCACTTCTGTGCTGATGTTTTCTGGCTGGAAGGTTTTTATCCAGCGGATTCTCAACATCATGTCTGCAAGTGAGAGAAAGGAAAAGCTTCAAACAGCAAAGTAATGCACAATTAAATTAATAAAGCCAGCTAGTGAAAGCACTGCTGTCAAATTAATTTACATTTTATCTCAAAACGGTAATCAAATGCAGTCATTTTTCACTTAAAAATCTGTATGCAGGACTTCAGGATGTTATTTCAGTATGATTATTATGAGTCATGTAATTGGTTAGAAGGTGTGCAACACTTTAAACCCATGCCAACTTATTACTATGTAAAATGGGTTCACACTGAAAAGGGGAAATTTACATTGGATATTGGGAAGGAATTCCTCCCTGTGAGGGTGGGGAGGCCCTGGCACAGGGTGCCCAGAGAAGCTGTGACTGCCCCTGGATCCCTGGAAGTGTCCAAGGTCAGGTTGGACAGGGCTTGGAAAACCCTGGGATAGTGGAAGGTGTCCCTGCCTTCTGATGATCTTTCAGGTGCCTTCCAACCCAAACCATTCTGGGATTGTATCACTGTGCACCACAGCAGAAAAGTGCGTTTTATATATTACTCCAGACAGGGTCTGAGCTACAACCTGCAGTTCCTGTTCCTTCTCCATCCATTTGGAAATTTGTTTACACTCCTGCTCACATCCTCTGTTCTCATGTAACTTCGACTGAACTCTACTGACCCCTCTCACTCCTTGCTCAGCTGTAGGACACTGTTCAAAAAGAGACACTTTAGTCATGGAAGTATTTTACTGAGTAGTTCCACTTCTATGAGACCTCTTTTGTGTCTGTTTATAAATTTATGTTCTGTGCAACCCAAAAATGCTTGCCTTCCTGAATACAGCTGTCCCTGAGTTGGTTTTTCATTCTGGGATGTTTTCCTCCATCCTAATTCACTGTAAAGCAGCTCAATAAACTGAAAACTTTTATACCACAAACTTACTCCTCTTATTTATCCCCTTTTTCCAGCAGTGTGTCCCATGCTGTGAGGACACTGAAGGGAGCATGATCCAGCTCTGGGAGCAGCATCTACCTCTGGAATCGTGAGGAAATCTGGGGACTGCTGCTCCTGACCCAGGACCTCATAACCCCTCACTGGCAAGGGGCAGAGTGGGATTGTTCCAACACTCAAATAAATCTCCAAAAGGAAAGTCAAAAGAAGGCTGGTTAATAAGGAACCAGTGCAGAGTCCTGTGTGATTGCACTCTCCACCCCTGAAAGCATCGTTAAAAATTACCCAGTCAGTTGAAATTAAAGCTAATTTCAGGCTCTGGCTGGCTGACCTTGGCAATCCCTGATTTTTCCTTGCCCATAGGGGATGGCAGTGGTGAGGATGACCCAGAGCTGTGCTTTGCTGTGGTGTTTCCCTGASTGGATCAGCTTTTGGGCTGAAAAGGAACATGGCTGAGCGAACATTTCAACCTGCCCACAATAATCCCTGTTATGGCAACTCTGCAGCAACAGGACAAGGGCTGATGGCTTTAAAAATGCCARAGGGCAGGGACAGATGGGATATTGGGAAGAAATTCTTCCCTTCGAGGGTGGGGAGGCCCTGGCACCCTTCCCTTTGAGGGTGCCCAGAGAAGCTGTGGCTGCCCCTGGATCCCTGGCAGTGCCCAAAGCCAGGTTGGATGGGGCTTGGAGCAACCCTGGGATAGAGGAAAAGGGTGGAATGGGATAGGCTTTAAGGTCCCTTCCCATGTTAACCCCCCTGGGCACTGCTGTGCCCTCCCAGAGCAGGCTCAGGAACTCCTCTGACGCTGGGAGAGATCCATAAAAGGGAAAGGAAAAAAAAGGAAGAAAAAGGAAGAATAAAGCCATTGCATCGCCTCCTTTTCAAGTGTTGCTTCTGAGCTCAACTAAAAACATCTTGGTTTTCTTTTCCTATAAGAAATGACTTCATGGGGTTTTTTTTTTAAATACTGATGCCCAGACTTGGCACCTTGGGACATGCTGCATTTAGGATGAAGAATAAAACCTGATCAATTCCCTGAGAGTGGAGGCTGGRAAGGCAAATTACACTTCTGTAATTCCCACTTTAAAAGCTTTCCAAGGAAGCACAGGGCTGTTAATCCTCTTTGAGGCATTAATAAATGGAAAACTTGGTAACATGCTATTTTCAGGTATTCTGCAAGATCTGAACCTGCACTATTTGTACCAACACTGAATTTAAGACAGTAAGCCTTGCTTCTGCTTGTATAAGGCTTTTATACACTTGTAATTTGAGCACAGGTGGTTTGTATCCCATCCAAACCTGCTTCAATTTTTGTATTTTAAATTTTAAAGGCATAAAATCTCCTGTTTCTTTGTGTTTCAGTGACTGAAAGATATAAATGAGGTTCTCAATCTTCYTAATTGTTGGGGAACATAAAAAAGCATTTCTGAAGGGTGGCTCGTACAGGAGATTTTAATAATCTGCAAAGTTAAGCTTTGTGTAAAGAGGATACCCAATAAACCACAGTAGAGCTGGAGATAYAAATGATAAAACATTTAACACTATTTCCCTTATTGAAAAAGAAACAACCAAATACACAAAGAGAAATAATTCAGACTGTACCTGGAGGCCTGAGTTTTGCTCTCATCCAGGGCATTGGCATTCCCGTGATCCTCCTCGGGGAGCTCGGGAGGATGGGATGCTGAGCTCTTACTCTGAGGAGTTGACAGGGCAGAGCTGGAACCGCTGCTCCTGGAAGTCCCCCGGTGCTCCAGGAAGTAATTAGTAATAATTTCCAGCAGTGTTTTCAGTGGGTTTTCCTTTGCCTGGCCAAAAACAGAAATAAAAGTTCTCGGTCACTACTGGAACACTGTGTTAGTCTTGCTGCAGAGCATTATTTATACATTATTTTCACACTGTACAACATGCATCTGAATATTTTAACTATTTCCTAGAGTCACCTGTGGGTGTACCCCAGGTGTGGCTGCASAAACAATGCAGGGAACTGTGAGATGTCAGCCAGAGAATATCGAGAGCTCGAAGGTGCTGCTGTGTTATGTGAAGGAAACATGACACAAAAAACCAACCTGATTTCTGGCTCATTTTAGCTAAATATTACAAAGCGTGGTAACTGTGTTGGAATGCACCTCTTCTACCCTGGCAGAGGGTTTTTGGAAGTGACATTTACACACTCATACCAAGACACCTCATGCTGCTGCCCAAAAGCATCGTGGTCCCTCAAGCCATGAGTGCACTGTTGATATTGCATTTTAAAGGGTAATAAATGCCAGAAGTGTGGTGTTTATCTTCTCTCCCATGCATAAAAATGCAAACAGAAACAGGCACATCAGGATACTCCACCCTGTGCCCTGCACCCCCTCACCTTGTTGTGTTTGTACAGCGAGTGCAGGTGCAGCACATTCCGGAGCTCATTCCTGTTGTTGATGCTGAGGGCAGAGCGGGGAAGCTCCCGGTCCATGGTGGTGATGGTTTTCTTCAAACCCTGAGAAGGAAAAGGCTCAGTCACCAAATCTTTGACTCTTGGTTCTGTTGGGTGCCACATGAAACTTGGGGATGGCAGCAATTTGTAAGCAGGTGACCCCCAAAACCTGGGCTGTCACGGTACAATCCTGCATTCTGACAGCCCACAGATATTTAAATAACTCASGTGGCTATGAGAGATAGAAATTACTGAGCACAGAAAAATAAAAACCAGCTGCTAAACAGCCTTGTAAAACTGATGGTCTGGATGAAGAGCCCTGAGTCGGAATTATTCCAACCAGCCTCAGGCTGGAAATCAGTCAGACCTCCTTTGTATCAGCTGATTTGGGACCTTCAAATTTCCTGTGGTCAGCACCCATGAGCACCTCAGAGACAAAATCTATGGGCATCTCACTTTCYGGAGGGAAGAACTGATTTATCACAAGCTGTATCCCAGACTAATTTAAGTGCTACAACACAAGACTACTATTTTGAGACTGAAAGCCCTGATTCCTCCTCTGAAGGGTGATTGTCACACCAAAGGATTTATTTTTCTGCTGACAGAGTGTCTGGCTCAGATTTATAAAATTAAGGCCAAGCTGTGATAAACAAAGGATCATTCTCACTGAAGGCTCTGATGTGTATGAAAGATTTGGGGGGAAGGAGAAACACAAAGGATTATCAGTGCCCCTTGTTTTGAAAATGTGAATTTGGAGATGGGATGCAAAAGATGAGGCTAAAGTTTGTGCAGCACTTAATGAGACAGTGGCTGTTTAACTTTTTATATAAAATAACTCATTTCTGACACTGGAAGTCTGGTATTAGCAGTATTCCCTTAGGATTGAACATGAACACAAGGTAATAGGCAATGCTAAATGGAAATGTGAAGGTGTTTTTCAGTCTGCTCAATCCCACACTCTCCACATCCCTTTGTGGTCCAAAACTCCCTCTATAGCATTAATTTTGTGACGGGTATGAGGGCCTCTTTCCTCCCCTTATCCCAATTCCCAATCCCCCCAATAAATGGGTTTTCTGCTGAGTTATTACTGAAAACTGGGGGGGAAAATACAGGTTCTGTAGAACTACTACTGTTAGGAAAATTAATCCTCAAACACCACAGGCTTATGTTCAAAAAGCAGAGAGAGGAGTCTTGCAACTTTATTCTAATAAAGGGAGATGCCATGGGACATTTCCATGGGGTCTCTCTCATTGCTGGAAGACACAGCCCCCATTTTATCCCAATTTCCCGGCCACAGTTCCCTCTCTCTTTCCCCATTGCTGAGGGATTGGAGAGGTACAGAACTCCCAAATCCTCTAATACAG